AAAAAGAAAAGATATATATATATATATATATATATATATATATATATATATATATATATATATATATATATATATATATCTTCGTGAATAATTAAATATAATTTCGAATAGAAGATAAAATAAAAAGGGACTCATTTAAGAAGGCATACAAATATTATAATTAGAAGAGATGAGAAAACTAGATTCAGTGGTAAGAGAAAAAGTAAAAGAAAATTTTACTAAAATAAATTTAAATAGTTGTAATTTAATTAAAAAATATAATTTCGTGTATCGATAATGTAGCAATCTGCACTTGGACTGATCCTACCCATATCGACGAACAATATCAATAAAAATTCTTTAGAAATACTGAAAATGTATATATATTCTCAGTACAAAACAAGTGTCGTCCGATGGTAGAAGCCTTAAATGGGATCGTCCAATTTCCTCTAATCCGCATATCGGTAAGTTTTCTGTGATCGATGCATGCCATCTTTACCTAATCGAATCGAGCGAGATTGCAAAAATTGCCATGTGATCGGTCCTTAAATAATTGATACATTAAAGTTTTCTGTGATCGAGTCCTAAATAATCGATGCATGACAGTGTCAAAACAGCAGAGTTATTATTGAAATGACCCAACTTAAAAAAACCAAGAAAGTGATGAGGGGTATACTCGTAGACTACTGATCGACGCTTTACCGCAGGCCAAGAGCAGCAAACCAAGCGCCAAAAATTAAGAACAGCAGCAGCATTATGAATGATTTGGGACACTTCACACCATCCCTATCATATGATGACTTGTGGTTTTCTTTATTCTCATCTTTTATCCAGTCGACTGTTGTTATACTTGTAGTCTGAATGCTGCTGTGATGCATGTGTATGCTCAGCCTTGCGATTTGGGAACAAGCACAGATGTATCTTGGAATTGTCGCCATGTTACGTGGAAATAAAGTGGTAATTTAGTAGTACTGCATATCTTGAGCTATGTGATTCTGCAACAACTAATCTTGGAAATTTTTGATATATATATATATATATGTATTAGTAATAATAAATCCATCCAAATTCGGGAATTTTTTTTGCATTTCCCTCACTAAATTTAAACTTTAACTTATATATTAAGTTTTCATTATAGATTGACATGACACTCTTTTTGCTAAGGTGCATTGCTTTCACATCAGCATGTTAAAATGAAAGCATTTTTCCGAGTTTGAGTTCCGAATTGGGAATTTTCTTTGCGCTCGGTCAATAGAATGGATTCCACATTACAAGAGTCCTGGCTTCTAAATATCCAAATCAAGGATCTCTATCCAATCGATTTAATGTCTCTCTCTATAAACAGAATAAGACATTTGTTGTATTATGCTTGAGATCATTAACTGAAGCATCATTGATCATGATTTAAGTCCATCATATCAATGAATTAATTTTTGGTAGGATTATTATGTCGAAGGTTTTTCGTTTTCAGCATGTAATTCTAATAAATTTATCAAAATAAATTATTGGATTTGGCAAGTCGACTGTCAATTAAACGCTAAATAGAATCATATGCTAACAACTAAAATCTCTCCATTATTTTATTGTGGTCTATGTAGACCCCATGAACAATAATCAGTAAAATTTTATTTCTTAATTCAACCTTCT